ATCAGCTCACCAACTGGGAGAGGGGGAGGGCAAAACATAATGCGCTATAACACAGTGTTACTGCCGGGCGATTCGTTCCTGATTACCGACCAGTGATATAATCACGGTGAACACGGCTGCCTTCAAGATACTGATCTTCGCCGCTGTTCTTATAGTCAGATTTCCCCGTACTTATAACTGCCTTCCCGATATCAGTCGAATGAGCCTGTTCACCGTTCACAAGAGCAATGCCACCATTATCAGGCAACTGTTCTCTGCATCAAGGTGCAGCCTGAACTGACAGTCTTCCTCGTTATGGTACCATACCCTGACATTCTCCGTATGTTGGTGACGACAGACATGATATATGACAATCCTATGCAGCCGCTTAAGCGCAGATCATCGAGGCCGCGATCCGAACGCGTATAATTCGCTGACTTCTGTCTTTACTCGCCGTTTAATTCGTGTGACATGGCAACGAATAGTGAATTTGTTTCAGGCCATCAGTCAACCTAAAGAAGTATCGAGATGCACAAAAACGATTAATATATATTGTGAATGAATATCGTAAAAGAATTCGGGTCATGAAAATGAGTCATTGGTCATTTGAAGCACTCGGCGTAGAAAGATATTCTGACGTTTATGCGGTAGCACCTAAAGAGTACGCGCTGCTGAAACAATATTCACAATGAGGGCGATATGGCTCCAACGAACAAAACGATGGATGGTACATATGGCACCGCAGGTGCTCAAATACCACCGAGCCGTTACCTGCATAAATATCGCTCCCCCTCCCCTACCTATGGAACTAACAGCAACGTGGTGGTGTAATCTGGTCTTGGACGATTTACACGCCATTTCTCATGATAGAGACGTTATAATGTACTTAGTCAGTTTGGTGAAAATTATCAAATACGCGATGGTGACCAGTTTTGAATATTAAACCTTAGATGAAAAAGAACAGTTAGCTCCATCGGCGTTACCGATTCCTACGGTTCTCATAGAAACATTATGGTACTGTTATAGAAATACGCATAAATGTCAGCAAAGGTCAGACAATCGCTTTACAAAACGCTTTTCTCACAGTATGCCTGAGTCTGTGACACCACTAAACTGACTTGGCCCAGTGCCATACGCCCTTCAACGTGCGATCATGTGCTAAATGCACACCGTGCAACTTTGACACTCTCATCGCGCAATCGCCGACAACTGAATTAGGAAATAAAAAAATTTCGCTTGAAACTGAAGGATATGACATGCTTTACACTAAATTCACAAAGAGCTATCCAATGATTGGTAAGATAATGATATAAATGAAACATCAGGCACAGATAGGTGTTTGTGAATCATACAGATTCGGACTCGCTGTCGCACGACCGACATGGTGCAGCCGCCACAGAGTAATCATAGAATAAAATGTTACCCTTGGAAACTCAAATCCTTTATAGCTATATTACTGTTGCTATGGTAATCATCACCTGGGGTATCAGGGTCAAAAATAGGGTATCTAGATTACTGATGTCTAATGTTTCGGTATTCTCAGAAGGATTTAGGAGATACTGGTTGCTGCTGAAAAGGACAAACAACTCTTCGTCGCAAACAATGCCACCTCTAGCAGTTGCTTTGGGGTGCGATGCTAGCTTCCGACGCGTTTGTGGCCATTTTCTGTTTCCCAATGGAGAATAGTTTTGAATAAGCCTTCATTCTCTCTCCGGATGGTTCTGTCAAACCATGACGGACGGTGGTCTTTGATTTATTCAGGCAACAGTCTCAGGCCGGCCGTCTAAAAGACATTATCTCTCGTTATTCGATGGAATCATCGCACTTTCAGAATGTTCCACAGACACCGTTGCTTAAAAGTGCCCAATATTTTTATGGCGTTTTAAAACCGTTGCTGTTTCAAGGCTGAGCATCACGATTGAGAAGGATGGTGATTTTTGTTGCTGTGCGGTGATCTCTGTTGTCACACTGTTAAAAGTCGCCCGAAGTTCACAGCTGGCAGCCTTAAGCGCCGCTGTACTTCCATATCGCAGCTTTCATCTATTGCCAATACAGAGCCAAGGTGCTTGAAGTTTACGACCTTTTCGATGGTCGTCCCACTTCATTGAATCTTTGGGTCGGGTGTAGGCAAGATCTGTTTTAGTGGGGTTAACTACTAGACCTACCGCTAAGACCACCTTGCGCACTTCTCCGGTTAGTGTCAAAAGTTCCTCTATTATAACCTCATAAAGAAGTACCTTTTGATGTCGAAATTGGCAATCGTTTTAACATTTGCAGTGATTACCGTATGCTTAAAGCAATGGTTGTATGTAAATCGCAAAATCGAAAAGAAACTAAGCCATTTAGATCAAAGAAATTGTGTCAACCGTGACGAACCTAAGCTTTTTTACGGGAAGTATCAAAAAGTGAGATGACATTTAATGATAATCTGACGACAACTTCGTCAAATGAATGAAAGACCGTCAAAGGAGGGCACAGCTTGCAAAACTAGGAAGACCAGAATGCATCCCGGCAACAACAAACGCGCTGCTACGAAGAAAACAGCTGCAAAGAACTTCTACGAATCTGACTGAGTTACAGCCTTACATGCAGAATGGCGTAACTGAAAGTGAAAGATCTCAAATGCTACAAAAGTGAACGCCTGCAGCAAACGATCGAGGAAAAAAGTGCAAAAAAATGTCGAATAGACTTCTGTGTTTTATGTATTGCCAGCGTTAAAAATGACTTTTGAGAAAGAATAAGGGACCACTAGGTGATGGAAGAGATGTGCACACGATCTTTTCAGCTCAAGCAATGATCCAGGAAAAACGAAAAACGAAGCGTGATATGCATGCAATTTTATAGAGGGAAGTTCGTGCCGGGCAGCTTTGCCTTCGATGAACGGTGGACAAGCCATGCATGCAGATCATGATCATCTTTCAGCCGGCACAAATTAGACAGTGTCATGGCAAAATTGTTGACCAGGTACCTAGTAAACAGCGAAAGGCCAAGAGATAGGAAATCTTCCCAAACAGTGCTTCTCTACAAGAAAGCTGATCGAGAATACTTGAAATATTGTTACTGACTTTATGCATGTTATCTAAGGCGTACAAGCTGCTAATAAAATTTCGTTAAATCGTTTAAGCGACAAACTAGACGAACAACAGACAATCGATCGAGCTGAATTTCTCTGAAACGCTTTTACATGGACCACCTTCAAATACTGAACCAGCTGTTCGAAAAGAACAATGAGTACAAATAGCCCCGTCTACATGATCATCGTCGACAACGGAGAGGCATTCGATAAGGTGGAGCACGAGGCAGTCTTCAGCGCGTTGAAAGAGCAAGGTATTGAAGAAGAATATAGCCAAATTCCGCAAGATGTATACATAAACTACAGAATGAAGATCCAAATTCCAAAATCAAGGTTTCAAATGATGTTCTCTAAGAGATACGATATCGCCCAAGTTGTTTACTCATGTCTTGAGTCAGTATTCCGCAAACCGAAATATGATGGAAGGTTTTCATTCAACGGCAGACGACTCACTCATCTTCAATCTATTGATGTGATGACATCGTGCTGTTCGGGACGAAGGCAAGAGAAGCTGAAAGCATGCTATGGGAATTAGTGCTAAACTGGAAGCATATAGGTCCTTGGATAAACGGGACGAGAATGAAAACGATGAGAAACAAATTATCACAGTCACAAGGAAGGTCAACTATGGTCAAGTAGAAGAAGCCACTTTCTTAGTCTACTTGAGAGAGCTAATTGCGACAAACCACTCTCCGTCCACAACTCGCACTGAGAACATAGAGAAAAATGCTGAAAGTCTTGAAAATCGAAATTTATCAGCTGCGCTTAGAATCGCACTGCGTAAAAGCATGGTATTACCAGGAGCTCTGTAAGGTTGGCATTCATGAAAAAGAATGGAGTACAGCTAAAAGTGCATCAGTTCGCTACTGAAAGAACGATGCTAAGAATTTCCATCAGGTAGAGACTGTGGAATAAAGAAATGAGAACATGCATGACAAATGTATGCCATAATATGTTTCCCAAAAAACCCGACAACGCGCAGATGTCACATCGCACGAGTGACGGACGAGCGACGGACTTCAACAGTAAAGGATTGGTACCAAAGGGCTTGTAAGCACCCATACAGAAGACATTAGTTCAGATGAATTGACGAGCTGAAAGAAAGATATGGAAGTTAGTGATCGCATGAGACAAACGACAGTGTGCGTCAACAGTAGATAATGGTGATCCCTATTCATTAAGAAGAATAATCAGTCAATAATTGGTAAAACGTTCAAGTATTTGTTCCGTTCAATCTGAACATCATTCTCGCTTGTCTCGTATGTGTTTGATGCGGACCGACTGAACTTCTGAAATTTTGAAGTGAAAAGAAAAATGAACACGTTGACTAAAAACGATCATTAAGCGTATCGCCTTCAAGTGAGGCATATCTTCCTAATGAAAAACTAAACACGGGTCAAATGCAGTTTATCTGCACAATGCAATAGAGGCAGCTACGAAATGGTGATAAACCGCATACCCAGGTTTCAATCGGTTTGGTATAGGCCTGTTTCAAGGCATATGCGCGATGCGACTTTCGTGCGGAAATTTTCGACGATTCAGCTCGATGGTTTTCGTCTGGAAGGCTAGAGGCCTTTAGCTCTGGGGAGTGAAGGTGGGGGGAGCAATGGCACAGTAGTTAAGCATTATTAGAATTCTCTGCAGCAAACAGATGTCGGTTCAAATACGAGCCGGCGTGCATCATTCTTTTAACTGCTGGTTCTTTTGAGCAATGAATTCATGTCATTGTGCCTCGTGGCAGCCAGCCGTTTACACGGGTAGCAAGTCAATGACCGGCTGCAAACGACAAAGACGCACGACCTTGTACTGCAGTATTGCCAGAACGTCAGACGTTGTTTTGCCATCGTCATCTGAGGTCAACACAACTTAAACAACAGAGAAACCCAGAATTATGACGCCTGACCCTTAATTATGGTACCTCAAACTGATATCAGGCAATCTTCACTGTAAGAGCAAATATCATATTCCTCGTCCGCATGTCTGCCTCAATGAGGTGTTTCAATGTTTAGTATTGCCTTCTATTGTATTGTGGTGTGTTGGCACGGTGTCTAAGAGGCCCGCTTTGAAGTAAGGAGAGACTGGATATGATTCAAATTGAGGGCAATCGTTGTCTTATTCACGAATTGACTTGAGAAAGGAATTACCACACACTGCTCAGACCGGGGGTTGCTCAGTTGGTACAGGGCAATCCGGGGTTAAAGGCACGGTCGGATTGCCAGCCTGTCATTCCCTCCGAGATTTATAACGATCACTAGGTGAGAAAGAAACAGGAGACTGCACGCTACGTTTGTCACACGGCTGTGATTCCGTGTTTAAAACAAGGCACTCCTGGCTAATGGCATAGAAACGCGATCATCATCACATCATCAGCTTTATGAAAAGAAGTGCGACAAAATGGCTCAACCATGAAAGTGAAGGAGGGCCTACATTCCAACGTGACAAACTGCTTTTTTCCTTCTTTTGCCCTCCAGTGCGTCTGCAGGAAGTTGACGGTTCGCACGTAAAAAAAGTTTGGAAAATATTCCATTAACTTTCTGAACCGTTCTATCAATCCAACATAAGCGCCGATCGATCATGTGTTCTCAGACCCTTGGTCGTCAGCACCTATCTACTCACTGCGACTCAGTGGTATCATTGCACTTTGAGGATACTAAGCACGCAACATTGTTGAACACTGCCTAAACGAGTATCACGACGGTTCAGGACGGAAGATGTTTCGAGGCTTTAGATGAGTATTGCGAATGCCGCTGCTGATGATCTTTGTGTTCGATCCTTTCAGATGTCGTAGAGCTTGAGACAATTATTTGCTGATGTCAGTCCGATACACGGATTCACTTTTGGATCAACTCTTCCATCTTTATTCAGAATAGTTCCGAGGTACTTGAAATGGTCTACTTCCTTCTATAGTATCCTGAGGCTAACGGCAGCGAGCGTTCTCATACTCATCCTATTTCTGGCGTTCATTTCTAGTCGCACTCTAACGGCTGTGTTGCACAAACTTTGCATATGCAGGTCAAGTTGGTTTACCCAAATGAATGTCTGGAGATCACTGGTGGAGTCGCAAGGCAGCACGATGTCATCGGTGTACTTAAAGTCCGTAAGGAATACAGCTGGATATTTCGAACTGCTTTGCTGACTTATGATCAGTCCCTCGTCGAATCCGAGAATACGCTCTTCCTCATAACATAATTCGCCACGATGCTGAACAACAAAGAAGAAAACTGCTCATCTTGAAGAACTCCACTGGTATCACTGAACCATTTCAACACTGATCCTTCAGTTGAGAAGGCCCACTCAGTCCCTTCATACAGACTTTCAGAGAGGGTTTTTATCATCTATGGGATGTCATAGTGTCGAATGCGTGAGAGATGTACGATGATGCTGTTTTACATAAGCATGAGGGCAATTCGCCTGTCGGCTAACTAAAGGTATGACCGAGGCAGGGGTCAAACAGGGGTGCTCAATCGGTAGAACGTCAAACTCATAACCGAGTGATACCGGATTCGATCTCCGGTCTATCACGGGCCTTTCTCCATTCCAAGGTTGATAAATGAGCACCACTCAGTAGGAAGGAAATGAGATTTGAATGTTGCATATCTGCTGCTAACTCCGTCTTTAAAATAAGGCACATCTGGCTGGTGGCATGAAACTGGAGACCAGTGTCCCAGCATTAACTTCATAGAAAGTGGGTCACCAAAAATGAATCTATCATGAAAGTGCAAAAAGGACCGACACTGTGACGGTTCTTTCCTTTTCCTTCCTTGTTTAATGTAAGAACGCAATGCAAGCCCCGATAACAATTTACTTTGCGTAGTTTAAAATCGGCAGTGTCTATGACTTGACTACATCTGTGATCAAAATCAACCATTGCCTGCTTTAAAGTCGACAGCGCAAGCATCGATTAATCGGCTGATATCAAATCAGAGTCTATC